CACCTTAGTCTCTAGGAGCCTCGGTGCTACTTTCAGCGAGTTGACAGGGCAGCCTATACTGCTAGAGCTACGTGCCCCTGGACCTTCCACCGTTGCTCTAGTCACTGGGACTATAGAGATGCTCCTTCATCAGTTGCATCATCAGAGCCACCTGCTATAGTCATACCTTTAGAGTCATAGGTTGCACCAGTTCCAGAGCAGACCCAGACCGCTTCAGCATCACTTCTAGAACCTGAGGGTTAGACAGCTCAGAGCTCTAGATCAGAGGATGATGGCACATAGTTCTAGATTGCTCACCGCACCTCAGCGCCCGACTCGTCTGCTCCTGCCCCGCCGACAAACCCTTAGGTTTTGGTGTTTAATGCCAAAGGGGGAGAGGGATCGAGTATGATTAGATCTAGGGGAGCGATATATCTAGGGGGAGCTTATTTATTATATTTGGCATTTTATGTGTGATACATTATTATGCATTCATGTTTACTTTCATGCATTGAATATATACGTATGAGTGTGATATTTAAGTGATATGTGATATTTATGTGATATGTGACAAGTGTGTTCTCTACTTTGATCTTTATAAATGTCATGTCACTTCATTATGCTCATTTGATTTGCTTCTGTGTTTTTACTCTAATTTCAAATGAGCTTTATTTCTTGTACTCATGCTTATTTCATACCTATTGAGTACATCATGTTGGCTTGGGTCATATAAGCATGCCTAACTCTTTTGTTCTTATTGTCAAAAGCTTATATGAACCAAGCATGTTGAAAACCTCATCTCTTTCTCATACTCGAGGTTGTATTATCATCAATCACCAAAAAGGGGGAGATTGAAAGCATCTAGGCCTCGAGTTGGGTTTCGATGATTAATGACAATACGAGATTACTATGACTAACGTGTTTTGCAAAGGCAATTAAGTTAGGTCATGGTAATGGAAATTAATTGGACAATCATGGTTGTCATGCCCCTATGATGGAAATTGTTTCGGTTTTCAAAGGATGGACGACAACGTTAAGGATGGACTAGTTCTAAGTGTCGTTTAGTGTTGAAGAGACACTTAGAGTAGTTTAGGACTTTGTTTTCCTTTGGTCATACTATTAGGGGGGTATGGACTAGTAGCTTGACCTAGGTGAGTCTAGTGGGTTAGGTGTGGTGCACACTTGTCAAATCTAGCACTAGATAGCTCCAACGTAGCCCTAAGATCAATTGGAGTAAACTTCATTCACATATGATTTAGAGTTGGAAATGAATGGAGGGTCAAATATTGACCAGACGCTGGTTCCGGTGTGACCGGACGCTGGCAGTAGAGTCCGATCAGTTCATTTGATCAAGCAAAAGTCATCTGGATGCGTCCGGACGCTGAATGAATAGTGACCAGACGCTGGGTGCTTGAGTCCGGTCAACTCCAGTAAGGTTCCAGAGAAGGAGAATCTGGATCGGACGCGTCCGATCAGTGCTGACTGGACGCTGGTCAGGTTCCGATTACTGACCGGACGCTGAGCAGCGAAGTGATCGGACTCTGGGTTCCAGCGTCCGGTCAACATCAGTAATGTTCCAGAGAGCAGTTTTTGTGACCGGACACGTCCGGTCAGTGTTTACCGGACGCTGGTTAGAGTTCGGTCACAACTTAACGGCTCAGCGGCGGGGAGAACTGACCGGAGCGTCCGATCACCCCACAGAGGCAGATAACGATTCGTTTTGAATGCGGAGGTATAAATACTTTCTCTATTCATTCAAGGGAGTACTCTTGCCTATTTCAATAGCTAAGAAACACCCTTGAGAGTGCCAAGGAGAGCAAGAGCCTATTGAGGTGATTGAGATTTGAGAATCCAACATTAAGGCCTCATTAGCAAGTGTGCATCCACCCTTATCATTAGGCTTGTTGTGGTCAAGTGAGAGTCCTTGCTTGTTACTCTTGGTGATCGCCATCACCTAGATGGCTTGGTGGTGATTGGGAGTTTGGTGATCATCCGGTGGAGCTTGTGGATGACCCAACTCAAGTTGTGAACGGTTGTGGGTGATTCACCGCGACGGAGTGTCAAAGAATCAACCCATAGAGAGCACTTGATCCTTGCGCGGATCAAGGGGGAGCTACACCCTTGCACGGGTGCTCCAACGAGGACTAGTGGGGAGTGGCGACTCTCCGATACCTTGGCAAAACATCGCATTTACATTTGAGCAATTCAATTCTTGTCTTTACATTCTTAGAATTGCTATGCTAGAGTAGGATTGGAACTTAGGGTGTCAAACTTTTGTGCGGTAGATCAATAGCATCACATTCTAGGCACAAGGGGTGAAGTGGGCTAAATCCAGGTATTGCAAAGAATTTTAGATTTAGCCCAATTTATCCCCCCTCTTGGGCATCTTGATCCTTTCATCGGTGCAGGTGAGTGATCTGACACTTAGATTGGGTACTCGGCCTAGCTCACCCCTTCAGTAGGTGTAAGCGGTAGTGATTCATTCACTACCGACCCTACCATTCTAGAGTCACGGGGGTGTTCAGGAGGGTCACCAGTATGATCCTAAAACCTTTGACACACTGTGTCAAGTAAATCTCTCAATACCTGGACGAGCTCAAAGTTCCTTATTTCAGCGGATGTGTGCCCGTTTATGGGAAATCGGAAAATTGGTTGGCCAAGTGCTGTAACCAAAGTACGACCTCCTGGAATCTGGAAAAAGATTTTCATGACGTGCCCATGCTAGTTAGGCTTAGTCCTATCACCCCTATTAATTAGGACGTGGATGCTCACTCGTTCTACCCGCTATCAGCTTGAAGAGTAACATACGCAACTTGCCGACAGCTGCTCATGCGTTCGTTACTCACCCACAGTAGTTCTCGACCTAGGACACTATTATACTAGCCTCAGGGCTCCGAGACAATGACCTTGCTTCTTCCACTAAAGAGTCTCGCGAAAATACGAGATCACATTGCTTAGCGGGTCTCGAAGAAAAACATGACGCCCTTAGTGTCTGTCACAAGTCGACCCACATCGGGTCACCCTTAAAAATCAACTAGCATAGTGGCGCGTAAAATGATAGCAGTGCAATTACCCTGTCTTGACTATCTGTTCTTTGATTAGGACTTAATAACGCACAACCACTAGCGGATGCCAGAATACATTGGGAATCGACTTCCCGAATAAAGCAGTGCAACCACCCGAATACGGCGTTAACAACATCCTCGAAGCCACACTTTCGGTTAAAGGGTGCCACCACCCGAATACGACATTGACAACGTCCCAAGCGTCACACCCAGGAAATCACGTTTCCCGACACAGGGTGTTACCATTCGAGCCAGACGCTTACAGCGGCTAGGGAACTACGTTCCTTGATGAACGGTGAACCACCATACTTCTTGATACCCGAGGAAGGTTCTCGGTACCCGAGAAATGCTCTCGGCACCCGAGCAGCCACATATTGGCTCCTCAATACTTAAGAATACCAAGATGCACTGCTCACAACCTCGGTACCCGATGGATAGCTCACTGGTACTCACAATACTCAGAACTTACAAGGGTCTACGACGTCCCGAGGGCTAAAGCAACCAGCTAGCTTGTCATTAAGTTCTTATGGGGGCTACTGTCAGATATAAGGGCTATGGGTACCCGCACCGCCCGTATATATGACTATCACCTAGCTATCGGCCCAGCAGCCGTCAAGAAGGAGGCCCACAAGGGCTGACATGATCGACCAACGTGGAGATCAAGTCAATCCGGGATGGATGGGTCTGTACGGTAGCTAGGATCAATCTGTTGCGCATTCAGTGTAACAAACTAGGAATCCAATCTGTTAGTCCAAACGCCCTCATTATAACCCTACCCTTCTACCTATATAAAGGAGGGTAGGGACCTCGGGCGGAGGGTAGGGACCTCGGGCTCAGGATCCATCTTCCATCACCTCAATCAACAACGTAGCTAGGAGCAACAGCTCCTATAATTGAGCATACAAATACACCACTACTGGAGTAGGGTTTAGCGCGCCACCGCGCTCTGAATCAGTATAAATCATAGTCTTGTATGCTACCATCTGATTCCGTCTTCGCGATCACGTTTCTAGGCAATGCCGGAGCTAAATCAACCAACAACGACGTTCATGATTAATTCCCTGAAGAGGTGGAACCAAGCCGCACGAAAGACCAAGAAGTTTCGACAACCGGATCCTTGCCAATCCTATGCAAAGATCCAACTGCCGACCAAGTTCTTGAACCAACCCAATCCAAAGCTCCAGCTCCCTACACCATGTTTTGCTACAAATTATATGATAGTTCCTCTGCTGCCAGCGTGGTAAGAATATAGAGGCAACCTCTAGTCACTCAGTGCATGTCTACACGAGAACCAAGATACGATGAGATATGATTGAAAGATACTACAAGAGAAGATAAATGATTAGATAGATATTTTATTTGTAGAAACTATCTATCGAGAGCATATATATATAGTACTTATTTTTTTAGATAAGGGTAGCATAGTACTTATATGTGATTATATAGTAATTAAAAAAAATGAAAACTATTCCATAGTTTTTAGGTTGGGACTATCATTACGAGCGATGTACGATACTTACCAGTTAGATAGTCGTTGAAAGCATGAAAGTAATTACCACCGTGAATTTGTATTGATCTTCATTCATTATTACTGCACCATAAAAAATTGCAGATCCTTTCTCTATAGAAAAGTCATTTGATTTTTTTTACGCGGCAACTGACAGTCACATACTAGTTTGATTACGCCAGCACTTGGTAATAGCATAGCCAACCTTATTACCTGTTACGTGCACCACCACGCGTCAGGGCAGTTAGTTATCAATTGGACACGCGTAGCTTGTAGGCTACTACGTGTGCAAGCGAGATGCTGCCGTGTGCTTTGTGATAAGTAGCTACTACTCCATCCATTTTATCTCGGTGTTTATATATATATATATATAAGGAAATTACTCGCGCGCACCGATAAGTACTAGCTACTCCATCCATTTCTACAACTACAACGCGTCGCGCAGGAGCATGTCCGCCATCAAAGCGAAGGCCGAGGACGCCGCTTCGTCCGCCAATGCCAAGGCCACCGCCGACGAGAAGGTCGTCCGTCGCCGCTCGCCGCAGCATGCTGCGCAAGCCGTCGACCACCCATATGTAACGCGCAGCACTTCGGCACAGCGTACGACGTCTGATCGATGATTTGTGTGTGCGGCGTAGGTTGAGAAGGCCAAGACGAGGGATCCGTTGAAGAAGCGGGAAGCCGAGGAGGACAAGGAGGACCGTAAGCTGCAGATCGAGTCCGACGAGCGAGTCGAGAAGGCCGGCCACGGCCCTCTCGGCCCCGAGAGGACCGTGACGCACACGGCCGGTGAGTGGTGATGGATCGGACTTGTAGCTGACAACGTGTGCCGAAGCTGCCGCGGCGAGAATACGCGTGTACTCTTATTTACTCCGTTTCAAATCATATACGTTTTGGCTTTTTTTATCGTATTACGCATCTAGATATATTTAATGATATATTTATGTGTAGATACGTAGTATGAATTTAAAAATACTAAAATATTTTATAATTTGGGATAGAAAATTTTTATTGCTTTATATTATGTACATGTTTTATACTCACTCTTCGAGATATATCAGCGGTAAGGCACTCTTTTGAGGGTGTATAAAAAAACTGCCGCTGCCCGGGCGCTCGCTGCTGCCCGTGGTGTCCACTACGTTTGGTTGTGGGACGTGGTTTTTATCCATGGTATCGCTCTAGCTAGCGTTTGTGTCGCTCTAGCTAGCATTTGGTCGTAGGGACGAGGTGGGATTAGAACAGAATGGACTTATTTTTTTTAATGTTTGGTTGGAGATGACCGTCGTACGCCCGGGAGGGAGAGAAGGACGACATCGTCGTGATGAACGAGAAGATGGCCGGTGAGCTCCGTCACTGGGTCCACCACAGGCGGTCATGCGCGCGTTCTCAGCCGGCCGGTGCGGGCGAGCTCAAGTCGAGCCAGCCGCATGCGCCCTTGCAGGCGACCGCCGGCCCCGGCGCGTGCGGCCATGCAGGTGAGCTTCGCCGCCGGCCCAGACTAAGTAAGATTGGTCGAAGTGCAGTTGCAATAATTTTTGTACTTGACCTGTTGATCTCCTGGTCGGTCGAAGTGAAGTTTCAATAATTTATTGTCTCATATCATGGTAACCTAGTGTTTTTCCTGACAACACGTACTAAAAGAAGAATTATCCGTATATTGTCAAATGGGCGCTGAACAGTGCATGCGTTACTGAACCATTGTATTAGGGCCTGTTTAGTTCCTAAAAATTTTTGCGCAGTACCCGTCATATCGAATCTTACCGCACATGCATGGAGTACTAAATGTAGACGAAAAAAAAACTAATTACACAGTTGGGTGAGAAATCGCGAGATGAATCTTTCGAACCTACTTAGTCCATAATTAGACACTAATTGTCAAATACAAACGAAAGTGCTACAGTAGCCAAAATCCAAAAAATTTTGGATCTAAACGCACCCTTATTTATGGTAACGATTTATTCAAGTTGGGCTGTGTTTAGTTCGCGAAATGAAAATTTTTGAATGTCACGTCGGATGTTTCGGGGATGTCGGAAGGGGTTTTCGGATACTAATAAAAAAAATAATTACATAGCTCGCCTCGAAAGTGCGAGACGAATTTATTAAGCCTAATTAATCTATCATTAGCGCATGTTAGTTATTGTAGCACTTATGGCTAATCATGGACTAATTAGTCTTAAAACATTCGTCTCACGATTTCCAACCAAACTGTGCAATTAGTTTTTTTTTCGTCTATATTTAATACTCCATGCATGTGTCGCAAGATTTGATGTAATAATTTGGGGTGAAATTTTTTTAACTAAACCAGGCCTTATTAGATAAATGTTCCAGATTTGGCGTCTGATGGTATAAAACAATGACTATTACGCTGGGATGACTCCGGCGACTGAGGAAGAAGTGTGGGCGAAATTACTACATTCTCAAAACCAAGAGGATACTCCTTAATTCCTGCCTTTATAACGTGATACATATGAGTCGTTGATCATTTGAGACGTATATCTGTGAGTCATCAATCATTTGAGGCATATGTTTCTAAAACCTATGAAAGCTGCACTAATGATATATATGGTGAGGTGATAAATGCAATGTAGATCACTAGGATAGCATAACTCATTATTGGCGGTTACAAAGCTATTTCTACAGGCGTTTGTCAATACCGCCAGTAACAAAGGTCAGTGAAAATCGCAAACTTCACAAGCGTCTTGTAGAGAACCACTGCTACAAATGATTTACACAGGTTGTTTTTTTAAGAAAACTGCCACTGCAAATGATTTTCAAAAATTACAAATCGGTTTCAAAAAAATAACAAAAAAAAATAATCTAGGAGGCCCCACCAGTCAGCCACCCGTCCGGCCATAGAATTGACAAGTCAAGGTATTTTTCGTGCACTTCGCGCCAGCAGGATTCAAATCCACGACCTCCCCCTCGCACGATACTCCTCTAACCACCACACCTCACTCTCACTTGTGTCTATAATAGATTTTCTTTTTCCTCGTATTATCCTCAATCGAGTTTAAATTGATTGTTTGAGACCCTAAACGAATTCAAATTAAAAAGTTATCAATTACAAAGTTGCATAACTTTTCGAGATCTATAACTTTCATTTTGGTTGTTTCTCTATCCGAGGTCGTTTGAAAATTTCAAATTTCAAATTTAAGTAATTTAAACGTAGTTTTTCTTGACAAGATGACTTTAAATGAGAAAGTTGTTAACTATAAAATTGCATAACTTTTTGAGTTCTACAACTTTCGTTTGGTTGTTTCTCCATCCGAGGTCATTTCAAAAATTCAAATTGCAAATGAGAAATTCAAACGTAGTTTTTTTTGTAATAAAATGATTTCAAACGAAAATGTTGTCAACTACAAAGTTCTAATAATCATCGAGATCTAAAACTTTTATTTTGGTCATCTTTTTATGTGACTTAGTTTAAACAATTTAAATTTTGAATTTCAAAAAAAATTAGAACTTCAAACAAGATTTTAAAATGACAAATGATTTCGGCTGCAAAAGTCATCAACAACAAAGTTGTAGAACTCATCAAGATCTATAACTTTTATTTTGGTAATTTCTTCATTCAACAAAATGATAGTCTACATTGTTCATAAATTCATAAATCTCTCACATAGTTTATAGAACTATATAAGAGATATTGCATTTGTGAACAATGTTTACTACCACTTTATCGGATCAAGAAATAACCAAAATAAAAGTTTTAGATTTTGAAGAGTCCTACAACTTTTATGTTCATAACTTCTTCAGCTGAAACTATTTGATGTTTTAAAATGTTGTTTGAAGTTGTCATTTTTGAAACTCAATTTTTGAAATGTTCATAAGAAAAGATGACCAAAATATTAGATGTAAGAACATAATAAATTGATAGAGCATGATTTTACAAAATTTTAGGAAAAAACAAGTAATTTAAAGATAGTATGAGTGAGAAACATGTTTTAGCCAGAAATTAAAAAGAGATATCAGAGTTCTTAAATTATTTAAAAATTAAATTTAAAATATCATTTTAAAACATCAAATGATTTCAAATGGAAATGTTGTAAATAACAAAGTTCTATAACTTTTCGAGATCTATAACTTTTATTTTGGTCATTTCTCTATCCGAGGTCGTTTAAAAAATTCAAATTTTAGTACTTAATTTTTAATATTCGGCATCTATTTGTAGTGACGCTAGGTTATGAAAACTGCCACTATAAATATATTTTTACTTTATGGTTTCTTAAGGCTACCGCTAGTAGAAATCATGCATTTTTACTGACGGTAAACTTAAGAAAACAGCCAGAAAAATGAATTTACATTGGCGGTTCATAATCTGGACCCACAATTTTATTTCTAGTGGCGCCTGCTCTTTCTGAACTGCCAGTGAAAAAAAGGATGGCGCCAAGAGAAAGGACCGGTGTACTAGTAGATGATGGTAAGATTCGTCACCCAGCCGATGTTACCGAGTGACAACGATTGGAAGATAAGTATGTTAAATTCAATTTTAATTCAAAGAATGTATGGTTTGACTTGATCGTCGATGGGTAATGAATCCATTCAATGAAAGGACTAGAAACTTTAGTATATGCGGTCTGTGATCTTAACCATGTAAAACATATGAACATGGCTATGTTAAAAGCAAAAGTACCTAATGCTCACTATACTTATTCAATGTCTAAAAAACCATACATTGATATAGATGCCCTCCTTATCCTCTGAAGTAAGAAATAAAGACACTATGGAAGGTTAGGGTGCCTATGGTTGATGCGCTCAGAGAGCAGGATTTCATATGTGGAGCCATTATTTTTATCACCACCAATGGTTATCTCGTGTGGTTTAGTTTGTTGGGAGTAGTTGGGACAAATCAAAGAAAAGACAGGATGCTTAGTAGTGGCAAGCAGTGGTATAGGGAGGTGGATAGGAGGCCTCGCACCCCAACCATACATATGGTTGGTCCACTATATAATCCTCTTAATTAGCAACTCTTGTTTTAAGTTATAAGACATTTTAGCTTTTCTAAATATATTATTTTTATTATGTATCTAGATATGATGTATATATAAGTGCATAGCAAAAGCTATATCCATGTCAAAACATTTTATAACTTGAAATATAGAGAGTAATAATTACTCATTAGTGCTTTATTTGTTCGTACTCTCTTCTTTGTGTTAATTCTTAATGATATTCATATGATGTATGACTAATACTATGTTTTCTTCTTCCTCTATTTATTCTTATTATTGTTTTTGGGTTTTTTTTCTACACATCTTAGTTGGTCGGCACAGTACACACCTAATTAGCTAGGTAATGTTGTTAATTAGTGCTTATCTTGCTATTTCTTCCTCCATATTAATCACAACAACATCTATATGCTTTAGAATTATCATTCTTTTATCTTACTTCTCTCTTTTATTCTTGTCATTATAGTGATTTTTTGCCTATTAATTAGACTAGTCGGAGGAGGTAGCTAGGGTTACTTTTTTTTCTCTGTCTAAAATCTTCAGTCTCATTTTAGACCTTTAGCTTTCTTTTGTATCTAAAAACAAAAGGTGTATCTGGAGAGCTTTCTCCCATAGAGAACACGTACTGAGACTAAGACTATACACAAATGGTAAGCGATCGGCACATGCAGGGGCTCCTCTGGTCCTTGGAGACGTCTGGATAACTTTTTTATAACCAAAAGCAATTGTGGTAGGTGGACGGCAGACAATCAATCAACTGATGGTTAGGTGGATCAACGATGGAGAACACTTTTAGGTCAACATAAAACTTGACAATGATGTAAAATATCACTGTCTATTCGTGGCTTAACCCA